TGACAGTCAGTAAGTTGCTAATCCATAAAAACAGTTTTCTTTACAGAATATTAGACACCACTGGTTGCTGCTAGTAAAATTGGAAGTGATACTATTGTAAAATTATTATTGAGTTCAGAAACTATTGACGTGAACATTGGTGTAAGTGTTACTGATCTCTGAGTAATATTTCTAACAACTCTGAAATTAGAATCCATTGAGTGTTGCCTTTTACAATAATCACAAATCAGTTGTTCATAGCCTTCTCAGTCATACCAATATTATGATTTCCAACATGGTAAGTTTGCGCTTATTGGTATAGTTATAAATTCTTCAAAAGGTTGTAAGTATTAGAAACAAACGAAACATTATTCATATGATTTGAAATAAGCCTCTGTTAGAGAAAGCATGGGAGAAGTCGAGCTATAATTTTGTGAAACTTTTCCTTGCAAAAGCTATCATGTATGATTTGCACCTGTCGAACAAATTCTCTATTTCTGAATACGGATTGATGTCCACCAAGAAAGGGGAGAAGGTACTTCTTGATCCATCTGTTTTAGTGACAGAATTCTTTAATTATAAGTTTGCTTTTGAAAATCTTTTGATGTATGTCAAGAGACCATACACTTTGCCCTATGACATGATCAGTCCAGTTTCGTATATTCTCTCCCACAAGAAACAAGATGGATATTTATTTTACGAACAATACCTTGCCCACAATCTTTCTGAATCAATTGCATACAGCCTATTTCCTTTTGTAAAACTCACTCCAAGAACCTATCTAGATATTGGTAGCAAGAAATTTGAACAAGAGGCCATTCTCTGCAGCAAAGTTTACAAAGGAAAGATTGGTGATAATAATGTGGTAAAGAAGGTATTCAGTGATGTTAAAATTGGAGAACACGAATATGAAATCCTTCAAAAACTGAACTCGCATCATGGAACAGTTGATCTTGTACACAAGGAGCAAACATCTGAATCTTTTCATTTGTATTTGAAATTAATGGATTTCTCATTGGAAAATTGTCGAATTACTGAATTTGGAAATAATAGTTTTGGTAAATTATATCAACTGCTGATGGTATTTGTAAAGTGTGCCAATACTTTGAATTATATGCACAAGGAGAAAATCATCCATTACGATATCAAACCTTCCAATATCTTAATAGACATGGTTGATGTGAATGGATTGCAGCTTGTTGGTGATGTAAAAATTGCTGATTTTAACGTTTCAGAACAAGTTGATAATTATCAATCAACAACAGCAACTGCTTCAGGAACATCCCATTATATGGTAAGTATCTATAAGATAAGTGTTTGGTTTCATCAATATTAAAGGCGCCAGAATTAGTTCAGAGAAAAGAAGGCACACTCAAACCTGGGTTTGAGTTTGATTACAGAAAATTTGATATATACAGCTTTGGTGTGACGATGAATGAGATCCTTCAAGCAGCTAAACCATTGGAAACACAAAGCTCTAACACTAATGGAAGTGGAAGTGGAAAGGCCTTTACAGAAAGATGTTTAAAATTCTTTGGAGTTACTCCTCCATCCCCAACTTCCCAAATTGACCTAAAGGCCCATTTGAAGAGGTTCATTACAATTGATGAATTGATGACAACCTTTAAATGCTTGAACAAGTCCCAAGCAGAACGATTATACTCAATTGGTTCCAAATGTCTCTCTACTGAAGTATCTGAAAGACCACTTTTTGAGGAAATTCACAGTCAATTATTGGAACTCCTTGTTGATATTTACAATAACTATAGAATGAATAAGAACTCTAATGTTTTTATTCTTCTTTAAAATTGTATAGTTTAAATGTATTTTAATCATGTAAAATAGTATAACAATAAATTAAACAAATAGTCTTGTGCAAGTTCTGATCATTTTCCTGATTCTTCAGAATTTCCATCAGTAAGCAAAAGAAAAAGTTAGTGAACAATAACCAGTCAAGCACCAGTAGTGGTCTAACAAGATCTTGTTCATATGAATCAAAAGTCAAAAAGTAATGAAAGAACACAACCAAGTTGACCAACCACTCCGTCTGTTTCCAATAGTAATAATACCAATCAAACATTTACCAAACAATATTCCAGTCACACCCAAAAGTAATCAAATAAATAACGAAACTCTACACAATAAATCATTTCACAACGGGGCGCACATCTTAATGACTTTT